CAGATGACCGCCTAAAAGCGATTCTCAGTTTGTGCGGACAAGTCAAGAACAAGTCAAGTGTTGACAGCCATTATTGATAGTCTTCAGCAACTAATGCCTGGATCTGACATGAGAAGAATTAGGTTAAAACTAAATGAATTTATTTTGAGGGACGTCGGAATGAAAAACAACAAATTGAACACCTGCAGAATGGTGACCTTTGGCTAAACAAATTCTCACATAATGGTAGTTGCAAAAATTTCCCTAGGAAAATGTCTCTTGGGTCAAAGGCGAGGAAACCAATTGTGGTGTCAATTCACATGAGATAAAAGCATTTGAAACCACATTTTTTTTAAATTAATCTCCGACCGAATGCTAGAGTTGACAGGCGCAGAAGCGCGATCAAGGAAGGATGAGGGACTGTCTGCATCCATTGAACGGTAGCGGGCACAGAAGAGACAGTAAGGAGGTTGAAAAGCTGCTCACTTGCACTGGAAGGTAATGGTGAGAGATGGTAATATGAGAGAGTAGAAGCAGCCAGGCGGAGCGATGCCTGCAACTATCTCCTATGAGAGAGGGAGAATTCCCAAAAATTATGAATTGATTTCTTAAGACCAAAAACAATAGACTTTTGTTGGAAATCAAGGTGATTCACCGAAACCCAGCCTACATCTTGCCCCGCACCGGTTTCTAGTTGGAGCCCATAAAAATGAATGCACAAAAGCCAAACAGTGAGAGTTGCAGTCGAGACTTGAGAATTGAGAGTTGAGAAGGAAAGCGGCGGGGCTCCCTGAGAGATTCCACAATTCCTGCCGAACACAAGAACCTCCGACTTCAGCCTTGAACCAAACTTACGAAAACAGTAAAACAAATTTCGCTAACTCTGCAAGACAAAACTTACCAGCGTATATGTTGCGTCCGATTTAGGAAAGGGTTGAGTCGGCAAACACCTATATGTGAACACAACTAAAAACGAACCATTGTACGCAGTATTAATAGAAAAATAGTAGTTATTTTTTATATTTATTTCGATTGCTGTTTTCTTTTCTCCAATTTTATTGTACGACTTCGCTCGACTTGGACTAGCCCAACACGAAGATACCTGCGACGAATCGATCTTGGCCTCCTTATAATCAAATCAATCACAACGTTGGGTAAAGCAGGTCAGGATCGAAGACATCACTTCATTGATCAAACTAGGATCTACCCCAGGCTGACCATGACAAAAGGTTACATCTGTTGCCGTTTGTTGTGAACCAGGATCGAACTTGAAGTGTTACAATTATAAAAAAAAACATTTCTCAAGAGAATGCACGAGAAGTCATCCTCTCGTTCCCTTTTGCTTAAAGAACTCAATAATATGAAACAGACGCCACTAAACAACGGTTTTCCGAACTACCTCATCGATCATCAGATTAGACTATTTATTTCTAAAGTAAATAACTATACTGAATATAAAAACATTCTCATAACTCTAGATACATACATAAAAAACCCATCAGTTAAAATCAAAATCATCCTTGATAATGGCTAAAAGAATAGACGAAAGCGCTCGGATATGCAGAACATTTGAACAGTTTTATACACTTTATGTTCATAAAAGAAAACACTTGTATGAACACAAGAAAAATTAAATAAAAAGCTTAATCGCAGTACCTTGTCAGTCGTCTTTAATGAAACTTGTATAAAAGAATGATTGCTGCCCAAATACGCAATTATATATATATATATATATATATATATATATATATATATATATATGCCCACGTAAAATGTATTTAACCCTTAGTCTTCTTTATACTCCAACAAACATTGATAATTCTTAATTTTAACCATTAATCTTGTATGCAAATCAATAAATATTGCATTTATTGTCATTTAAAGAGTATGTACATATTTGGGACACCCTGTAAGAAACATCGAGACTATAAAAGCCAAAAAAAAAAGAAAGATCCCATCACCACTAACACCTGTGGTCTTTTATAGCCCTATATTATCGCGACTTCACAGGAATAGTTCAAATCTCATAAATTCACAAGGATAGTGCAAACTGAGTAAAGTTTAATACCTAACATATGATCATATCATATGAGAATACCCACGGAGAGGGAGAGAAAGCAAAACTCTTCAAAAAACATAAGGATTAGTATGGTGCAAAGTCAAATAATTTAAGTGGGTAATTTATGCTGCGTTAATCTAAAGAAGAGAAGTAACGTAAGTATTCTATACAGATTGTTTACAATTTTTGGCATCATTTTTTAGATGAGAATTTTTCATGATTCTAGTCATTGCTATTCGAACCAGCATGCCTTTTTCTTAGTTGTTATACTCATGACGTTTCGGTTGTTGAGCCCGTCGGCATTCTTCAAGTGTCCATCTTCGTAATCGGTAACCTTCTTGAAATTTGGAGCATTAGTTAAAACATATCGGGTCCCTAGCAGTTGTAACTTCAATCCCTGGGTCTTGTAGTGGTGAAAATTTATATACTCTGGTTCAGTGGCTGAAACGAACAAGCGACACAAAGGGGGATAAGACTAAGTGATACGAATATCCTCTAAGCATGGAAAACAAAATGAAAACAATCTATACCCGTAGATTGTATACGAAATTACAAGGTTATCGAGTAGGAAGATATATATATATATATATATATATATATATATATGAAAACATAATCGGCAAAAGTCAACCAAATAGAATCGTGATATGGGGGCTTCGAGAAACGGCAACAGAAATAGAAGGAAAAAAACTATTTAAAAAGTTAATAATAATATAATTGTCACTGATTCCTCTAAAAACATACATTAAGAAAGATAATGATTTCTTCTTTATTTAATGTAACAGAAATATGAGTCTTATTTTCGCCGTATGTCCAAAATCTTTTTTAGCCTTACGTGGTTTGAAGACACTCTATAGAAAAAGGAGGCAATTAATGATAAAAAGTTCTATGGCTTTCTAAAGTCCTGTACCACCCTTCAGCTAAATTGTGTATTTCATAAAAGACGTGATTCAATGTATTCTTCGAGGAATTTTTCGATATCTCGACCTTGTTGGAACCGTTAACCAGACAAGGAAATTTAAATGAAACGAAACATGTGATCACCTGAAAGTAACATATCTACAAAATATGCCACATGTAGAAAAACTTCCTATCTCAGCTGGATAGCTGTTTGTTGCTACGCGTTGGCAACAAGAGGACGAGTCTTCCATGCAGCAGCATCGCTAGTGAACTTTGTTGGTCTTAAAAAATGGTCTCTTCTACCCTAATAAATTATTTAAAAAAAGAACCACTGAAGCGTTGTGCAATAATAGTTTATCCAGATTCCAGCAATTTCTAATTCATTTTGAATAATACCAAACACAGAGAATAATTCAATCTGTTCTGTTCGGGACATAATACTGGAACCTGTCCTGAAACTAGCCACAATTTTTCTTTCATTTTGGATTCTGATAATAAATCCGTTTTTCATTCCTAGTGACTATTTTATCCTAAAAATAACTTTTTTTGCATCGGGCAAGAAGAGAAAAACAAATGTTTAAACATTAACTGGTGTTCTCTTCTGCAAGTTCTTGTGGAGCCGATTTTCCTAGCTTCAGAATTTTGCCTAAAACAATGACATATTCTAGTTGGCTGATTGGATATCCAATAAAGACTGAATAAATGTTACAGTCACGTCTAAGATATTCCTAAAATTGTGCAAAAGATGGTACTAAGAATTTGTGTATGTGTGTAGGGGGAGGGGGTCCCTAAACATATTTAATAACTGACATTTTTTTCTCTTTATAGTAAGATTTAATTTTTCTTTTGTTGAATGTCAGAAGATTAATGCTTATTTTACTTTCACTTCCGTTTCTCCATTAAAGAAAGTGATATAAACATTTACTTCGAATTTTTTTTTCAATTAATAAAGAAAAAATATCGATTGCAAAAAAAAGCCAATTGACAGTTTTCTGTAATCTTCTTTCAGGATCTGTTAGTGAACCCAAACAAACCAGTTGCCAATCACGGTTCAATGAATTCTATTTATCAGACGTCTGAAAAATCTCAAAATGAATACAGCTCGGACAGTAAAACAAAGGATCTATCTACTTTACCCCGAGTCGTGTATATCATCACGTTTGTAGCCCAACTGGGTGTCCTTTCGGGTGGATATGATATGGGAATAACGTCAGGTGCCATCCTTGTTCTCCGGAATCAAATGAAATTGTCGTTGATATGGCAACAACTGATTATAGCCACTCCAATCAGTGCTGCAATGTTAACCACTTGCCTTGGATCACATGTGAGCGATGAATTTGGACGCAAGAAAACTATTATAATAGCTTCCCTCTTTATCATCTCAGGGGCGGTCACAAATAGTAGTGCCTTAAACAAACCGATGTTACTTATTGGACGCTTTCTCATAGGATGCGGATTAGGTGAGTCTATTTGTTTATTTATCATGCCTTGATTTTCATGAAATGTATCCCGATCTCTTTCCAGTTTCATTACAATGCGACTTACAATATAAATCTTTGTAATTGTCCGTTTGATGATTCTCTTGTAAACAAACACTTTGAATGCCAGTGTTCTCAGGCATTTAAGAAATGAAGACAAGTTTGTTCGGAAAGTAATGTCATTTTCGAGAAAAATATAAAACTAGATGCAAATGCAAATAAGTTAAATAAATTGAATGAATTACATAATCGCTGACATTAGCAATAATAGTAACTAAATATTGAGGAATTTTCCACATTCTCTACTTGATTGATTGATTTGTGTTTTACAGTTTATCAACCTTTTGCAGGCTATTCTAAACCAGAAAAAGTTTTTGATTGTAAGAATATTTTGAAGATAATACTAATTTACTCATACAAGTCCAACTAATTAATCCATAGCTTGGGGAGAAGAACTGGATTCATACCTTTCCTAAAAGCATTTCCGTAAATGAATATAATGAACCCGACTGGAATTGGAACTCGGCACACCGATTTACAAAATTCCGAGCCGTTATCCATTACATCACGCGCATATCCAAGTTTACATCACCTGGTATTCCCAATCTAATTACTGACCAGGCTCAACATTGCTTAACTTCGGTGATCGTACGAGAACCGGTATTTTAACGTGATATAGGCGTAAGCCTCCTCTCCTCGTTGAAAATATTTAAAGATGTTGAATGTGGTATGTAATGAGAATGAAATAAAACTCTAAAACCTAATGACTTTTTTTTTCCTTGACTTCTTTTGCTTTTTGGTAACAGGCTGGTGGATACAATTATTTATATTCAACAAACCTGAGCCTTGTGTGTTGGGGGTGGGGGCGGCTTGCGAATGACATACTCGATTTGCTAGCAATAAAAGTGTACGGCGATGATTGTTTCTCTAGTAATTCATCGTGGACAATACTTGTCATATACTATTCGATGTATTACAAAACCTTCAATAAATTATATCCTATTTTCGATGTTGGGATTGATTTTGTCACCGGTTGATAATCACTAGTTTTCTGTTTTTTACAAAGTGTCAGTAGCGTAACAGTTATAGGTACAGTAAGATAAATCTGCGAGTCGAGTTCGAATTCCGGCCTAGTGACATTGAGAAAGCATGAGTCAATCTCATAGGTTAAATAACAGAGTAAACTAGGCTCCCTAACATTGAGTGACAACCAGTCGAGGGGAAAGACTAATCTGAATGTAAAACCGTAGAAAAGTTAACGGAAAATTACTCCAATATCTTTCCCCAAAATCATGGTAGTTCACACGTATTAAAGAATAGGAAGCTATGGAGAACCATGATCATCTACGTCCTGATGATTTCAAAATCATTACCTGAAGTAATGGCTGAGCAGCAAGATCAAAGTTACCCTTTTAAAAATCATCGCTTACACATTGTCACTGCACTTACATATACAATACAAATATCCTTGGCTGTCTTTGTGAAATTCAAGCAAAATACTTTCAAGTTTTTGTCTCACATAGGATTAAACGAGGGTGGATCAATAAATCTGTAAGCTGACAAATTTAAATTTTTATCTGAATGTTCAATGTATAACGACTGATCTGTGCGATTAATGGGAAAACGTTGTATGAAGTACATTGACAAGGAAATTATCTTGAAAATAATAAACATATTGATGTAATGAATATGCATACACCTGTGTTCCCCCTCACAGGAATATGATTGGCTGGTGTCAGCCATAAATACAGGCTGATGTAGAGGTACAGGACGCACATTAGACTACGCCATTGGCTATCCTATTGGTCTACGTCATCGCCATTTCTATTCTCTTGGAGCGATTGACCACGTGTTATTTTTCTTTTAGTCCAGCACAAGTTTGCTCGGTTTAAAAAAACTGTTAAGTTACTCACCTTTTATTTTTTGAACTCTTGCATTTCTCCGTTTTCTTTTTTATTTATATGTATTTGTTTTTCATTTTGTTCAATTTTATTTTATTTTAAGTTTGTTTTCTTGTTCTGTTGTTTACCCCCCCCCCTCCCGTTTTTATTTCACTTTCGTTTCGGTTTTATTTTTTTTGTTTATATTTGTGTTTGTTTGATTTTTATTTTATTTCGTTTTTTGTAAAATTGTTTTTTCGTTTGTTAGTGCACGAACTATAATGTTATAAGGCGAACTAGTATTTATTCAGCTGCGGTGGTATATTCCACCATGGCTGAAATATCAAATTCACCGCCTGTGAATGCACAAAATAAGTCACCGGAAAAAAGTGCCTGGTTGGAAAACAGGCCAAAGAAAGACTCGTCGTACTATGAAGAACAGCGAGTAAAATACGAAAAGTACATCAAGGGCAATGACTTTATTACGATTCCAGAAGCCCTGGATGCAATTAATACAAGAACAATTTCCCTGCTGACTACTGACGTAAAAAGTCAGAAATTGATTGGGGTCAACAGGGAAGCCATGGAAGAGGCGATAAAAAGTCTACACATTGCTCTGAAAATTCTTGCGAGAAGAACCAATGCGATGTGGGATTTGTTACTTGCAACGGAACAAGAAGCAAAAGCGCTCGCTGGAAACACCTTAACGACAGCAACTCTAGGACTCCAAACGGAGTACATGGTTACCCAACGCACAAAAAATATGGTGCATGGCGTACCGGTTGATATCTGTGAAGACAGAATAGGAGCATTCTTTTCGTATTATGGACCCGTAGATGAAGTCGCGTCTATTAAGAGCAAGGCCGGAATTGCAACCGGAGATATGGTGTTATACGTAACACTCACCCAGCAGGCCTTTGGAGAGGTCCCGAATACATTAATGTGCCGGGAGAGACGGATGCAGTTGAAAAGTTATTCAAACAACAGGCAAAGGACAATAAATCACTTTGGGAAGACGTATTATCTAGGACAACAAAAGAACCGGGTTCTAGATTGTTTTCTGCTGAAGGAATTTCAAATTCACTCTCTGAATTTAAGTACGACCCTAACGACCTACGAAAATAAGCCGGAAACGTTGAACCGTTTCCGGCTTATTTTCGTAGGTTTGATACAATATTTACGAAAAGATGCGAACAGTGGTCCAACGAGGAAAAATCACTCTATTGTTGCAGAAGTTGGGAACAGAAGAAAATACAAAATACACGAATTTAATCCTCCCAAGGAAGCCAGAAGAAATTACATTCGGTGAAACAGTAGAAATTTTGTCTGTTTCATACTCAATACAAGTATCTAAATATCATAAAACAAGAGAATGATGATTTTGTCACGTATGCAGGTATGGTTAACGCACAGTGTGAGGCGTTTAAATTAAAGGAATTGTCAAGCGACATGTTCAAGTGTCTAATTTTTGTGCAAGGTCTAACGACACCTAAGGACAAAGAAATTAGATCAAGAATCCTCTCTATCATGGAACAAGATCCGAAGATTACGCTACAAAAAATAACGGAAGAATGTCAGCGAATTATAAACATAAAAGAAGACAATACTCGAATTGAGGAGAAGAACATTTCGCGAATACAAACTGTAAGACAACAGAAAGGGATACAAAATAAAAGAAGAAAAATTATATGCAGTTCGTGTGGAGGACAGCATATAAAGAAGGATTGTTTCTTTAGAGATAAAAAAAATGTTTTAATTGTGGGCGTGTAGTTCCCATTGTCGGGCAAAACAGAAAAATGTAAAATCAAAGTCTCAAAACAAAGGCGAACGTAGTTTCGTCTAAAAACGAAATTGAGGAGGGTCAAAGAAGAAAACACCTCAATGTAAAAATAAATGGGCAGACCGTGAAATTATTACTCGATTCAGGAAGTGATATCTCGGTAATAAACGAGCAAACTTGGAAAAAAATCGGTTACCCACCGTTGACTCAAACAGACAGAATTGCCAGGGGAGTGTCAGGAAAAATACTTAAGTTTACAGGTGAATTAAAATGTTACATTTCGTTCATGGGAAAAAATCACAAATCGAAAGTGTATGTGCTCCCTGGTTCAGTAAACCTCTTTGGTTTAGACTGGATCGTATTGTTTAATTTGTGGGAATTACCGGTAAATTCTTTCTGTAACAAAGTGAACGTCATAGAGAACTAAAAGACGAAGCAAACAGAAAGATTTATTACGGAGTTGAAAAATGAATTCCCTCGCGTCTTTTCAGAAGGACTGGGTCTGTGCACAAAAACAGAAGTCAACTTCAAATTGAAAGAAAATGTTAAACCAATCTTTAAACCAAAGAGAAAAGTACCATTTTCGACACTAGAGACAATAAATGAGGAATTAGAAAGGTTGGAGAAAATTGGCGTAATTTCAAAAGTCGATTATTCGGATTGGGCGTCTCCAACCTGTATATATAAAAAAGAAAAACCGAAAAATCAGAGTGTGTGCTGACTTCTTGACAGGCTTAAATGACTGTTTGAAAGACCACGCGTACCCTCTACCGTCTCCGAAGGATATATTCACTAAATTAAACAGAGGTAGAGTGTTTTCAAAGTTAGACTTGTCGGAGGCTTACCTTCAGGTTAAAGTCAGTGAAGAATGTTCGAAGTACCTGACTATAAACACGCATAAAGGGGTTTTTAAACTAAATCGTCTCCCTTTTGGATTGAAGGTAACTCCAAGCCTATTCCAGCAAGTGATGGACACAATGTTGGTTGGTATGGAGTATGCAATCGCATACTTAGATGATATTTTGATTAAAAGTGAAAACGAGGCCCAACACAAAACGCATATTAGAGCGGTATTTCAGAGAATTGAGGAATACGGGTTCAAGCTGAGTGCTGAAAAATGCGAGTTCTTCTTAAAGAAGATAAAATATTTAGGGCAGATCATTGACAGTAAAGGAAGAAACCGGATCCAGAAAAGGTTGAGGCTATAAAAAATATGCCAGCACCTGATAATGTGGCTAAACTCCAGGCGTTCTTGGGATTAGTAAGCTACTATAGCATTTATATCCCAAAAATGTATGATATGAGAGCTCCTTTAAATAATTTGCTGAAAAAGGGCACAAAGTGGATATGGTCGAAAGAATGCGAAGATGTTTTTAAAAAAATAAAAAAGCTGTCTATTAGCAGACTATCGTTAGCGCATTTCGACCCGAAGAGGAAAATCATCGTAGCAGCAGATGCCAGTAATGAGGGACTAGGTGCGGTATTGCTTCATAAATTCGAGGACGGATCTACGAAGCCAGTAGCACATGCCTCGAGAACGTTACTGCCCGCGGAATGAAGTTACAGTCAAATTGAAAAAGAGAGTTTAGCAATAATCTACGCTGTAAAAAAATTTCACAGCTTTCTATACGGAAGAGAATTTATTCTGCAAACAGACCACAAACAGCTGTTAACAATCTTTGGTAAAAAAAAAGGAATACCAACTCACACGGCAAATCGACTACAGCGTTGGGGTATAATTCTATTGAATTATAATTTCATAGAAGAAGCTAGGTCACGCCGATGGGTTGTCGAGGTTAATACCTAAATATACGGAACCACTGGAAGAAACAGTAATAGCGGCGCTAAGAGACGAAAGTGAACGGACATGACAATGTCGGAACTCCTGAGATCTACAGCCAAGAGATCATCCTGGAGAAGGTTGTCTGTTTCTTCTACCCTTAGGTCCCCACCGACGATTGAGGCAGACAAGGGACTGATTATGATGATGATGATGTAATGGATAGCAAATACCCTTAGAAAAG